ACAGAAGCTCCCTTTGGCGACGCACGACCGGATGTCCTGCCAGTGCGATCCATTCCCGACCAGCTTCCTCTGGAGCCACTTGGAGTAGTCCGTGAAGCGGTACCGCCGGAAGGCTATGCCTGGCAGCTTCTTCCCGCCACCTCGATAAGTCACGGCGAAGCCAAACAGGGTGAAGCACAGCAGCATGACAACCAGCACGGCCGTGAGGAAGAAGTGGATCTTGACGATGCCGAAACGGTTCCACCACACTCCAGCGAATCCAGCCAGGGAGATCCCGAGTAGCAGCAGGCTGAAGAGGAAGCCGATGGTCACGGCCGGAGTGAGGAGGAAGGCCAGACACTCTCTTTTAAACGCGGAAGCCAGGGAGATGGAGACTCCGAGAACTGGGATCGCCAAACCCGCGCTAAAGGCGTTGAGTCCCAGCAGCATGAGCGAGAACCAATCGTCCTGGACTTTGCCGATCGCCCAGCCTTTGTCCTCGAAAGTTTTGCGCCAGGCTACCAGCTTGTTCGTGATCCCGGACGCCGCCTCTCCGCCCAGGTTCGCCATCTCTTTCTCCAGCTCCTCTCCAGAGTGCTTCATCTTCTCCCCGGTTTCTTTCATCCTCTTGCCAGTCTCTCGCATCTTCTTCTTCGCGTCGGCCTGGAGCTCCTTCCCTTTGGCCTTCATCTTGGCTTTCATCTCCCTCCCGCCTTTCTCCATCTTGGCCTTGAGCTCGTGAGACTTGTCTCTCATCTTCTTCTTCATCCCCGCTCTTGTGTCTTTCATCTTCTTCTTCATCTCCTCCGACTTCTCTTTGACCTTGTCCTTCATCTTCTTGCGCAGCTCGTTCCCCTTGGCTTTCATCTTCTGCCGCATCTCCACCCCCTTCTTCTTCATCTTCTCCTCCAGCTTGGCGCCCTGCGATTTCATCTTTGCTTGCATCTTCTTGCCGCCGGCCTTGAGCAGATTCCCCAGCCCCGACGCGAGTTTGCTCTTCTTCCCATCTTTCTTCGCTCCCGATTTCTTGTCCTTCTTCTTCGTCTCTTTCCCCTTCGCTTTGAGCGCCCCCGGCTTTCCCTTGCCGTGCTGCTTCTTCCCCTTCTTCGGAGCCATGCCGATCGATCAATCCAATCCAGCTACAGCGCGCCGGAACCTCCAATTGCCATTTCTCCCTCGCGTCAAACCCGCCTTCTCCAAGAACCCTAAAAATTCGAATTCGAAAATTTGAATTTGAATTTACCGCGCACGCCAATACTAAATACAATTGGAATTCCATCGCTCCTTTGGACGTCACACAAAATCTAGAAGAACAAAAGAATCACTCACTCACTCTGCTCTCTCGATCATCAAAGAAGCTTGCAGCTCCTCTAGTTGTTCATCGTTCAAGCCTTCGAGACAATCCTTTGCGCTCGCAAAGATCTGTGCCTGGCCTCTCGACTGCTCATCGTCCTTTGCGCTCGCAACGATCTGTGCCTGGCCTCTCGACTGCTGCTCTACCGCCTCCTGCTCGAATCCATCGTCGTCGCCCAGCGAAGAAATCTTGAAGAGCCCCGGCCCGTTGAGACGCTGCTCCCTATCCGAGACGTTCTCCTTGGTCACCACCTCTCCATCCGCCGAGACCTTGAGCTGCTTCTTCTGCGACGATCTTCCAGAGCTGAGCTTCCTCATCGACTTGCTGCGAGCGCTCGATCTCTTACCGCTGCTACTCCTGCTCGTCTCCTTCGGCTTCCTCTCCGGGGGAGTTACCAGCAGGAGCCGCGACATCACGTAAGCCAGCAGCTCCTCCCTGTGCGCGAACGTAAAGTCGAGGTGCGCGTACTCGTACTCCTGGTACGAGGCCTGCCCCCCCGCGGCCTTGAGCGTCTCGTAGTGCTTCCTCACCATGCTCCTCGGGATGAGCCGGTCCTTCTTCCCGGCCACGAAGTCCACCGGAATGTCGATCACGTCGTAGAAGGCCGCCACGTCCAGCGGCTCCGGCGTCCCATACGCCTCCGTGTTGGCCTCGACGCTGCCAAAGTCGTACATGATGAACCTCTTGGCGCGCAGCATCTGTGTCATGTGCTCCGCCACCATGTACGCCACCCCGGGCATGTCGTCCATGTTGTAGTGCGTCTGTCCCAGCGCTCCGACCCAGTTGGAGCTGTCGCCACCCACGACGGAGCCGCAGAGGAGCTGGACGAGGCCGCCGAGAGCTGGATAGTTTTGAAAGTCGCGGGCGAGCTTGTTGAGAACCATCCGCAAGAACTTCGTTGGAATGTAGATACCGGGGACGAGAGGCCGCAGCACCGGACCCAGCAGAGGAATGAGGTACTGCAAGATGTAGAAAAGCCAGGGCGAGTCCTCGTGGAATCCAGCCGGCGAGAGAAGGATGAGCCTCGAGAGTCGATGCGGCCGGCCTTCGAGGCGAGCTGTGACGAGGTACATGAGCATGGCCGCACCGCCTAAGCTGTGAGAGATCCCGCACAGCGTGTAAGGCATCTCCTCCTCGGTAGTGGCCGAAGGGGATTCGGATAGTTCCTGCAGCTCGGACGTCTTGAGCTCGTGTAATCTGTTTATCATGGCAGGGACGTCCTGCGTGGCGTGCTCGTTCACTGAGTATCTCCAATATCTGAAGAACAAAGGTCCCAAGGCATAAGATTGTAGAAGGGAAGGGGAGATGAAAGAGCAGCCTGACCTCTCGGAAGAAATATGTTTATTTACATGCTCTCTGGACACTAGCCCTCGAAAGTTGCCCAGAAATACATCGTACCCTGGAAAAAGCCAACACCGTTACACGAAACGAGTGAAATGGAGATTGTCACTTACCATGGTCGTACGCAGCGAACGCCTGCGAGCCTACAACACCATTTGAGACCCATCTGGAAATTTTTAACAGCTTTGATACGAACGAAAAGAAAAAATGCTATAGATACTCACCCGAGTGACGAGTCAAACATTCCATGCTGCAAATACACCACTTTTTGCGAATCCCGTCTGCAAACTCATGTCAACAAAAACAATTACATCTCAAGCATCGACAGGTTACCTGGGAATTCTTTCTAATAAAAGTACATATCCGTCCTCAGTGGTTACTCGGAGACATTCATATGGGTAACTGCAATGCAATATTTAGTCCAAGAAAGATTGCAAAAAAACAGAAAGAAAATGTCGATACTCACCCAAGGTCAGTAATGATATCCTTACAAGTCCTAGCATCGGTGTTTAATCTCTGTTTGGGCCTCGCTTCTCGAAACGTTGGAGCTGGATCAGCATCGCCCAGAACACTCTTCTGCTCGAGAGAAGGCGCTTCTTCTTGCTGGCAAAAAATCTTCCGAGCTAAGGCTTTCATAGTCTGAATGGGTGAGATAAAGTAGAATAGAATGTTGTGCATCACGTCAAAAAATCTCTCGATGGAAAGCTCCATCAAAAGCTGTAAGTCCTGAGCAAAGGAACACAAAAAAGAGGCTTAGCTCTTCGAGACCTTTCGACAAAGGACTAAATCACTTACCTCGATCACACCTCTTCTTCGACTATCCGAGCTTTGGTGCAGCATCACAAAGTCTCTCATGCTGTTGAAGCGTTTGCTGGCCAGGCTATACAAGCTCGTAAAGCTCCCGGAGCTTCCACTCCGGCTGTGAGATATAAATCTCCTCTTGCTGCTCTCTCTTGGCTGCTGCCTCCATACCAGTATAGGCCAAGCTATCAAACGCAAGAAACGCCGAAAGAGAGAGGACCTCCCCTGCCTTCTCGACATGCTGCTCGACCTCGAAAAATGCGAAGTTTGTGAAGATGGCGACGGTGGCATACTATCGTCGTCCAACCCAGATTCATACTCGGACTCAGTCTCACTGTCGGTATCAGCCGCGTACTCGTGAATAAATTCGTTGAAGGAAGAAACTCCACTATAAAAGGAAACAAAAGAAAACGATCATTCAAGAAACGTGAAGACAATTAGAATTAATTCTTACTGACAATGAAGAAGAAAAACTTGCAACCATCACGACTGGAAGGAAACTAAAACGAATCAAACTTAAAAAACTGCAAGGACGATCCTGTCTAAATCAGCTAAAAAGGACAGAATTCTCACTGACCAGAGAGAGAACGAACAGCACATAAAAAAGGCAACCAAATTGAAAGGACTTGCCACGCATCAGCAACACAGAAGCACACATCTCCCTTTGGACGAATCTCGATCACGGAATGAAATAATACTTGGAATATTCAAGAACTTAAGGTGGAACCCTGTCTACTCTACCGACAATGAGGAAATAAAAACTTGCGACCATTAGAACAGGAAGTAAACTTAAGCGAATCAAAAACTCGCAAGGAACTTAGAAACGATCGTGTCTAAAAAGGACTGGTCACAGAGAGATCTAACACCACAAAGAAAAAGGAAACCAAAAGCATTCGAAAGAACAAACCGACTTTGGACGACTCTCTATCACGAAATCACGAAAACTTGGAAAGATCTAAGAACTTACTTCTCCATCCATCGCGGCATACGAGCAGCACGAAAGGTCGGTTGGAGCTCCCATCCTTGTATGCCCTCGAGCATTGCCGTCTTCCCAGGAATGAGCGTGAGAAGCATTCCCGAGAATCCATTGATGAGCTTGATCGTGATGTTGAAGGCCTCCTGCGTGAAGGTCTTGATCGACCTGGAGGAGCGCGGGAAAGGAAAGAATCAAAATCTAGACGAGAGCCCCAAAACCCCCTAGCTTACTCTTTGGCGACGCCCAATGCGCCCTCAACCACGCTCTCGATCATCGCCGCGGCGCACACGCATGGATGGATCGACCGCTCGCCCCGCCCGGAGAGAAGAAGAAATTTAGGGTTAACACGATCACCAGCGTCCCTTAGCTCGCCACAAAGCGCAAAGCGCAAATCCAGCAATTCACAGCAAAATGCTTCGCGAGATCCCTCAACACGCTTCCCCAATCAACAAAAAACCCCCACTCTAGTCTTTCCGATCTTCCCCCAATCCAACAGTCGCAAGCGCGCCAGCAATGCGCCCTTCTGCGCCCGACATGTGGCACGGTCCCAATCGTCCACACGTGGACCGTCGAGATCTAGGAAGATTTAGGGCTTTGGGCGATTGGAGATTTAGGGTTTATAGGCGATGGCGAAGGGGAAGAAGACTGGGCGCATTCTCATCCGCCTCGTCTCCTCGGCGGCCACGGGATTCTTCTATGTCACCTCCAAGAATCCGCGCAAGACGCCCCACAAGCTGGAGCTCGTCAAGTACGATCCACGGGTAAACAAGCACGTCGTCTTCAACGAAGCAAAGATGCGATGAAGAAGACGAAGAACGCGCAAAATGTAGGCTAGTTTTTTCCACAAATTCTCTTCTGGGTTTATTCACAAGATCGATGCTGGCATGGAGCTCGAGTGTCAGCCACTGCCCAAGAACAAAATACCACTGTCAAGAACAAAAAGGATGGAAAATTTACGTACCATTGTCGCAGTGATCCAAAGTTTCTTCGGTGAGATCCTCCAAAACTCTTGCGCTTTCTAGCACAGGCCTCCCTGGAAATCAAACTCGCCGCACAGCCACTTTGCCTGCTTCGCGGTCTCGACGTAGCTCTGGAACTTCTCGTGCGCGTTGGGGACGTCGAGCGCGAGCTCATTGAGCAAGTTGTAGACCCTGGTGAATCCGGCACACATCTGGCTGGTGGTGATGAGCCCCTCCCTCGAGCACTGCTCCAGCAGCTCCAGCGGCCGCTCGTTTTGCTTCTCCATCGCCATGTCTAGCACCCGCTTGACGATCTCGTGGTGGAAAAACGGCATGTTGAGCTCGCGGATGCACCGGCACGCCTCCGTCAAGTCCCCGCCAGCTTCGAACTCCTCCACGATCTTAAAAACTTTGTCTTTCGCGTCTTCGATCGCCCAGCCTGTGCCGCCACCCCAGCACCGGAGGATCCTCTCGCCGGCGTGTTGGGCCGAGAGGATGCTCTTGGCGTTGCCGACGATCTCTCTTCCCAGCGAGTTCTCTGGAAGTTGTCCCTTGATCTGTTCCAGGTAGAACGGCGTGAGGACGTTGTCAAACACGGCCCTGGCGAGGAAGAAAGTGAGCTGAGTTCCTGCGTCTGGAGTGTCCAGTGCTGTGTCTTCGGCAGACTCGAGAAGCAGAACGAACCCCTTGGCAACTTGGTCAGTGTCGGACTCTGTGTGGATCGTTGACAGCAAGCTCGAAGCCATCTCTTTCTCCCGGCTTCTCCTGTCCATCGCTAGCAGAATGAGCCTCTTGATGAAGAGAGGATACAAGTCCTGGACGCTCGCCAGGTCTTGCAAGCTCCTCAAAACTTCCTGGGAGTCGTCGGACGAGAAGTACTCGTGGATGATGGCCGTGGACTTTTTCTTGAACTCTGCGCTTGAAAAGTCGGGCTCTGGAGCTGCCGAAGCTAACGAAGTCTGGAGCGAAGGACTCAGCCATCCTTCATTCACTGCCGCTGACACCACCGGCTTCAACTTCTCGCGAGCCTCGGCGCTCGACTCCTCGAGACATCTCATGAAGCCTTTCGACATCTGGCTGGAGCTGATGAGGCCTTCTTCCGAGCAGTGCTTGAGTAACGCCAACAAGGAACTTTGCGTGCTCTTGTTGCCCTCCAGGGACAAGGTAGCGGCCCTCTTCACGAGCTCGTGGTGATAGTAGCCCATGTCAAGCTCTCGGATGCACTGGCAGGCCTTTGTTACATCCCCGGATTCTCTATACTCCTCGAGCATCTCGTCTATCTTCTTCACCAGAAGCGCCACCGTTGAGCGAGTACTTCCTCCCCATTTCTTCTCCACCATGTCGGCATGAGCAGATGGTCCCAAGTGCGTTGCCATAGCCTTGTTCACAACTTCCATCCCCTTGGATCCTTCTGCCAAGAGCTTCTGTGCGTCCGTGAGAAATGCGGGTGGAAGTATGTCGTCCACCACTGCGCGAGCCACGAACACCGCCAAGATCTTGACTGCGTTGGGATTATCCAGCGCCAAGTCGTCCACTGAGAGAAGCAACTTCCGGAAGCCTTTAGCCATCTGGTCCGCTGGAACAACGTCGGCATACAATGCCGAGAGCAGCACCGCGGCCTTTTCCTTCTCGCGATCACGCTTGTCCATGGCTATGGAGACGAGCTTCTTCACAAAGTAGTGCTGAAAGTCCGGGCACCCGAGATCACGTAGCTCTTGAGCTGCCTCGTCTATGTTCGACGACATGAAGTACTCCTCGATGGCTAACAGGACTCTTCCCTTGAATTCTTCCACGGATTCGGCAACCGGAGCTTCCACCAGCCAGTAAGGTTCCTGGAACAGATAAAAAATCTATCGTAACTTGCGTTTTCTATGAAAAAAAAAAATGAACTTACTTCCTCGCTATCGTAATTTGGATCGTCGGGATGGATTCTAAGCTCGACTATCTGATCCAGTTGGCTGCCCCAGGTGCCTTTCCCGCTCCCGCCAGCTAGAGAGAACAAAAAAGTTTAATCGAGAGAACACGAATCAATGGGTCCGAAATTCATGCAAACCTTTCTTTGCCTTGCATGGCTTCTTACGATTGCTCGAATTCTTCTCCCGGCCCCTCTCCATGCAAGCGGAGCTCATGACTTTGCGCTGATCATCCGTCAAGACGGCCATTCCTCCTCCCGCCTGGAGATCACAATGCCAGCACAGGCCGCGAGAATTCCTCACCTCGCCAAGCCAAAGATCGACGCCGTGGCGCGGGATTTCGACGCCCTAGCGAGATCTTGCCGTTCCAATCCAACCCTAAGAAAGAGGCTGCTACATTTCGCTGGGCGGAAGGAGAAGAAATGAAGCAGGTGATTGTCTGGCCGTCCACGTGTCTCTCATCGAGACCTGCCAGAATATTCACTTCTGCGGTTAAAGAAAAACGGAATATACTACGTTATGGAATATGCTCGCCTGACCGCCCATGCCCTGTGCGCTTCTCTAGAACCGTTGCTATCAACAAAAGGCTAAGATTTTCATGTGTTCGTACGCTATTCCTAGTGGAATTTTGGACCGTGTGGCCCAACCGATAGGCTAGAAGCAAAACCACCATATCGTGAAGAAGGGATCTCGATCATGCATGGATGATCATCAGGGCAGCGACTCCAAAAAAAGAAAGGGGAGCTGCCGCAATGGCGGCGATCTTCGTGAGGCTGCGAGCGATTGCAAGCGATCCAGAGTAGAAGCTGAGGAAGAGGCCGAGGATTCGAACAATTCCAGCGGTTCAAGCGCGAATCGCATTGGCCGGACCGAAATCTCGCCCCAGGAGATGCAATGCGAGCTGAGCGCCAGCGCCAGCACGGTGACGAGCATCGAGGAGGAAGTGGACGACCAAGAACGAGGTAAATCTTGCCACAATGCTTTTCCTCTCCTCCAAGATTCCATCTCCGGCTCCGAAATATCGTTGCATCGCGACGGGATCGACCAAGGACGAGCTGGATCTTTCCGGGATCTCCCTCCTCTTCTCCACGAATCCATCACCGGGGACGATCTATCGCAGCGCCGCGATGCGATCGAAGAAGACAACGCCAGCGACAGGAAACTATTCGTTCTTTCTTCCGGGAGGCCGCGATTGGAGCAAGAAGACAGCGCTCCCACGATCGATGCCGAGTTCCAAAGCTACTTCGCCAATCTCATGTTATAAGCGGTTGACATGGGCGCTCCATTTTTCCAGGGTTTTTAGTCAAGGGAGGGCGCAATGAGGGCGCTGCTCGTCAAGTCCTATGGCGATCCAACGCTTGCTCCATCCGAGAATGGCCCTCTCTTCGTCGACGAGGATCATCCACGGCCCCGGATGGTATCCAATTCCTCGGTGAGAGTCCGGGTAGCCGCCGCGAGTGTGAATTTTGCCACGGTTTTGTCGATCGAGGGTAAGTACCAGGAGAAGCCGGCGCTGCCATTCACCCCCGGTGGTGATTTCTCGGGCGCTGTGATCGAGGTTGGGGATCACGTCAAACGCGTTAAAGTGGGGGATCACGTCTGTGGCGTGGTGGACCTGGGATCTTATGCCGAGGAGCTGGTCACTGACGAAAAATATCTGTAAGTATCTTTTCTCTTGGCTAGATTTTACAAGTCGTGGTTTTTTCTTCCAGCTACAAGGTTCCCTCTGGCTGTGATCTCATTGCAGCAGCAGGGCTTCCAGTCGCGTTTGGAACTTCACACGTTGGATTAGTTCACCGAGCAAATCTTAGACGAGGACAGGTATGTGATGTTTTTTCCTGGAATTGCTTGCAGATTTGATTCTTATATCTTTCAGGTGCTGCTCGTGCTCGGAGCTGCTGGTGGAGTTGGCCTGGCGGCAGTACAAATCGGCAAGTTGTGTGGAGCGATCGTTATAGCTACTGCAAGGTGATGGACAGTATTTATTCCATTCCATACTCTTTAGCTAACGCAGGAATTTTCAGAGGGAGTAGCAAGACAAGTCTTTTAAGATCAATGGGGGCCGATCTTGCGGTTGATTCCGGGACTGAGAGCCTCCTCAAAGCCGTACCAGCATTCTTGAAAAGTAGAAAGCTCTCTGGAGTCGATGTGCTCTATGATCCTGTCGGGGGGAAGCATTTCAAGGAAGGGCTCAGGCTCTGCTGCTGGGGAGCACAAATCATAATAGTTGGCTTTGCAAGTGGAGAGATTCCTTCTCTTCCTGCAAACATAGCACTTGTTAAGGTCAGTATGCTTGCCTTTAAGCTTGTGGATGTAAAGTTTTTGTTCTTCTTTTATAGAACTTGACAGTCCATGGACTTTACTGGGGAAGCTATAAGGTACACCACCCAGAGGTCCTAGAAACTTCCCTACAACAGTTAATTGAAATGCTTGCGGATGGTTCGATCCAGATCAACGTTTCACACACTTACGATTTGTCCGAGGTCAGTCTCTCACATTCTAGATGCCGACTTGAGCAGTGCCATCTAATGCTCGTTTTCAGGTTAATTTGGCTTTCTCATCCATCGTGCAAAGAGAGGTCTTGGGAAAAGTTGTTGTTGTATTTGACGGCGACAAGGAGTCGAAGCTTGGTTCCGAGAGAAAGTCTCGACTTTGAACTGGCAACGAGGAATCTATACTCTGCTTTCTGCGGATTAACTATTAACTAGATAAGGTTTTTAATTGATCTTCCAGGACTCGCTAGCCTACCAGCAGAGAGAAACTTTCAAACGCGTGATCAATGGAGCTGATCCCAGGTTTGTAACGCGGTAAGTGGCGGCTAGAGTTGAACAGTTCCTTGTTTACTCGTTCTTTTTAAAGCACGGATGGAGCCACGAGTCGACGACCTCGTAGGATGAAGTCTTATAGCTCTCCGAGTGGCCAGCGCCAAGTTACTGGAGGTACCTTGCTACCTCGTCTTTCCGGGATTGAAATGCAGGACTTGGATTTACAGTGTTCTCAAGACGGAGATCATCATCATCAGCAGCAGCAGCAGCAGCGACAGCGGCAGAGAAAGGAGGAGGAGGATTTTGTGAGTGTTGGATGCTCGGGACGATTGAGAAGCATCTTCACGAGAAAAGGGGTTTTCCAAGAGAAGCACAGTAGTGATGGATGGTGCTCGAGGCTGGTGAGGAGGCTCTTTGGAGGAGCTTCCACTTCCAGCACCTCTCCTTCGAATTCTGGAGAGGAACAACGATCCAGCTCGCAGTATCGACGTCTTCCATCCGAGCTCTTCGCGAAGGTTCGGGGCAACACTGTTTGGAAGGACAGGTTTGAAAGATTGACAAGCTTCGCAAAGCACGAGCACGATGATGATCGTGGAAAGGAATCAAGTGGCGTGACACCACTTTGGGAAAGACGAATGCTCGCTCCAATTCCAGTGCTCGAAATCCATAGATAACGACAAAAGGCAAAAAGGCCATTTTCAAAATAAAGCATATCCTAGAATATCACTTTTTCAATGTATTAGGGCTCTTCTATAAGTATATTCTAGCATATTTGACTTTCCAAATTATTAGGGTTCTTCGAAGGCATTTCGCTCGTTCCAACGCTCTATTCCTTCGCAGAGTAGCGATGATGTCCACAGGTGTGGCCTTGTTTCTTCTTACACTGGCCTCACTCCAGGGATCGCACAGCATTCTCACGAAAATGTGAGAGGAACTTCCAAAGAATGGGCGATGACGAGCGAGCGCCTCAAATCCAGCCTCGTGGGCGACCTCGACGCGCAGGGATTTGCCTCTCTCCTGCGAGAATGCGCGCGATCGCGGGACTTCGCCGAGGGATCTCTCGTCCACCAGCGGATAATCGCCTCGTCCCGCCACCGCCACGATCGATTCCTCCAAAACCTCGTCGTGAGGATGTATGGCGAGTGTGGCCGAGTGGATGAGGCGGCCAAGGTGTTCCATTCCATCGCCCGCAAGAATCTCTTCTCGTGGAGCTCCATGATCGCGGCCTTTGCCCAGAATGGGCATTCCACCGCGGCTGTGGAGCTCTACTCGGACATGATCCAGCGATCGGGGCTCCGCCCAGACAGCGTCGTCTTCGTCGCGCTGCTGGGCGCTCTTGATTCGCTCCAATCCATCCGGGAGATCCACGCGGAAATCATCTCGGCAGGGATCCACGGCGAGACGATCGTGGGCACCGCGATCGTCAACGCCTATGGCCGGCTGGGCAGCGTGGAAGAATCCCTCTCGGCGTTTCACTCGATCCTCGCCAAGGACGTGATCGCATGGAATTCGATCGTCGCGGTTCTCTCCCAGCATGGCGAGCTCGATCGAGCGCTAGAGCTCTATCGCAAGATGGATGAGAGCGCGGTGCCGCCGGATCGCATCACGCTAGCGAGCCTGCTGGACGGATGTGGGGGCGATCGTCCGCGAGAGCTTGAGATTGGGCGATTCATCGACAAAGAGAGCGTACGGAAGGCTCTCCGTGGTGACCCCGCAATAGACAACGCACTAATCCGGATGTACGGGCGGTGCCGGAGAGTAGAAGAGGCAAGAGCGGTGTTTGCGACCATGGGCTTGCGAAATCTTGCGTCGTGGAACGCGATCATTGCGGCAAATGCCCAGAATGGGTGTTTTACGGAGGCGATCGAAGCGCTGGAATCTATGATCCAGTTGAAGAGCGTTACGCCAGACCGGATGAGCTTCTCGGTGCTGCTAGATTCGTGCTGTGGGAGCGAGCACCTTGCGCATGGAGTGAAGATTCATGGATTGATCTTTCTGTGCGCGATCGATTCGGATCTTTTCCTTGACAACGCCTTGATCACGATGTACGGAAGATGTGGCAGCGTGGAGAGAGCGCAGAAGGTTTTCGCCGCGATGGAAGAGAGAGATCTTGTGTCATGGACTGCGATGATAGCAGCAAATGCCGCTAATGGGCATTTTCTGGCGAGTGTTCTTCTCTACCTCCGGATGATCCAAGAGGGTGTTCTTCCAGATAGAATCACTTATGCCACGCTTCTAGCCGGATGCTTGAAGCAGCGAGCTATCGATCCCGGGCGAATGATCCACGCCCACATCGAGAGCTTCTATGGCCGGAACATGGATCGAGACAACGTTCTTGGCAGCCACCTCGTCAATCTCTATCGCCGGTGTGGATCTCTCGAGGAAGCCAAGTCGGTGTTTGATCGCTTGGGCGATCCAGACGCCTCGTGCTGGAGCGCGATGATCGCGAGCTACGCGCAAAGCGGCTATGGATCCCAGGCGCTGGAGCTCTTCCAGCGGATGGATCGCCGTGGTATCGTGCCGGATCGCCTGGCATTCCTCTCGATCTTGAGCGTTTGCTCGAGCATCGATCTTGGCAGGCGATTCCACTCGCGGATCGCGGGCATGGATCGCGAGAATTCGATCGCGACGGCGCTCATCCAGATGTATGGGAGACTGGGATTCGTGGAAGAATCCAAAGGGGTCTTCGATCGATTGGAGAAAGAACAGGGCGATGGAGACGATCGCGACGTGGCGGTGTGGACAAGCCTGATCCAGGCCTACGCTCGCAACAATCGTCCCAGAGAAGCTCTCGAGATCTTCGCTGCGATGATGGATCACCGCTGCGAGCCCGACGCCGCGAGCTTCGCGAGCGCCATGGATGCGTGCTCGAGCCTCGGGGATTTGACGCTCGCGAGGAAGATCCACGCCCAGATAATCAGCCTCTCCTCGAATCCCCGCGAGGAGATCCAAATCCTCGCGACCAACGCGGCGATCGCCATGTATGGCAAGTGTAAGAGCTTGGAGGAGGCGAAGACCGCATTTGACCGGGCGATCCACGCGAAGAACACGGTCAACACCGCGACCTGGAACGCTATGATCGGCGCGTACGCCCAGAACGGGCATCCGGGCGCCGGGCTGGAGCTCTACCAGCAGATGAAATCGCAGGGAATCCAGCCGGATCGAGCGACGCTGGTGATCGCCCTGGACGCGGCCGCGATGATCGAGGAATTCGAACTGGGGCGAGACGTTCTCATCGATGGAGCGCTAGAATACGACGAGAGAGTAGCGACAGCAGTGATTGGGATGCTTGCGCGCAGTGGAAAGACGATTAGAGCCAAGAGGGTCTTCGATTCCATCCCGAGAAGAGATGGAATTTGCTGGTCCGCGATGGTCACAGCTTATGCCCAGAACGGGCATTCCATCTTGGCGCTAGAGCTCTTCTCGGAGATGGTGGTCGAGGGATTCGTCGCAGACAAGGCCGCGATCGTCTCCATCCTCGCAGCCTGCAGCCAAAGCGGCGATTTCCGCCGCGGGCGATCCTACTTCGCGTCGATGCAAGCCGATTTCAGCGTGGATCCAATCGCGGAGCACTACGCCTGCGTCGTCGATCTCTTCTCGCGGATTGGGTGGATCCGCGAGGCGCAAGAGCTCGCGAGAGAGATGCCCTTCAAGGCCGATCGAGCGGCGGCCATGGCGCTCCTTGCCGGGGGCCGGACAGGGGGCGTACGGAGCTTCCGCGGCGATGATCTTGGGGCGTCGCTGGATTGCGCTGCTCCGTACGTGCTTTTGTCCAACATTTACAAACAATCCGAGCTCTAAAAGTCAATGAAAGTCAATGGAAAGTCAACTCAGTCAATGACAAGCCAAATGAAGGTTTAGCATCTTATTTGTTTTTTTAATCCTTTTTAACTTTTTTCTCTTTGCTTCCAAATCAAGCTTCCTCTTTTTTTCCAAATATGATCGTGGGTGATTTGCTTAACCCATAATTATAGCATCTCAACAAAGTCAAGGATATTATCAATTTATCAGCCCATACTCAATCATCCCTCTTTTATGGTTTCCTGGTAGGTCGATCTCTCGACCATGGACAATGCTCGTTCCAGCCAGCGAGACGAGGAGGACGAGCTCCATCACAGTAAGAACTACGATGCCTACGTGATCAAGAAGCTCGCCACTAGTAGCAACACCACCATGATGCCAGGGATCAAAGTCTGGGGTATCGTCTTCTCCCTCTTGTTCTCCACACTCTTGCTCGTCCTCCTCCTCAATCCCAGCGCTCTTCGATCCCAAGACGTCTCGCTTGGAACATCTCCATCGCCACCCCGAGTGTCGCAATTCAAGCCCCTCCCTCACTACGATCTCACCGCCGTGCGCCCGCTCGACGCCCTCTCGCGCGTCCCAAGGATCCGCGCCCCCGGCGAGCAGCGCACCATCTCCATGGATCCATCGCCCAATTGCCTCAAGCACCCCTCCAACGGCGTCGACGACGATTGCTGGAACGCTCTCCGCCGCGACCAGTACCTGCGCGTGCTGGACGAGCTCTACGAGTCGCCAGACTCGGTGCTGGCGCGATTCAAGCCCGACGACAACTGGCAGATCTTCGATCTGATCACGCCCACGTACCGCTGCGACGCGAATTCCCTGCGGAGGGTCGGGGTCCCGGGAGATGGCGGGAAATGGGTGTGTGGGCCAATTAGGGTTCTTGGGCCCAAATGCGTGATCTTCTCGCTGGGATCGAACAACCAGTTTGATTTCGAGGAGGCGATCGACGCGCACACGGGCGGCGAGTGTGAGATCCACACTTTCGACTGCACGGGGGTGTGGTCCAATCCACACACCAAGTTCCATCCATGGTGTTTCGGGGGAGAGGATAAAACTGATGAAAATGGGAGGATTTTCAAGAGGCTGAGCACTGCCGCGAGAGAGATTGGCGTGACGAGCATCTCGCTGCTCAAGATGGACATCGAGCTCGCGGAATTCGACGTGTTCGAGGGATTGAAATTCGAGGACGAGGTAGGGAAAGCTCTTGCAAAGTTTGGAAACCTTCTTGAGCTGCCACCTTTGCAGGGCTTCTTGCCGGATCAAATCCTCTTCGAGCTCCACACATTTGGGTACCCCGCGACGAGCAAGCACAAGGACGATTGGCCTCGCACGGTCATGGATCTCGTGCGAGACATCGATGCCATGGGCTATAGCTTTGCATTCGAGGAGAGAAACTTGGGATGGAGTAAGTTACGCTGCCACCTTTCCTCAATCTCGCTGATAGTATATGGTTTTACTTCGATCTCCGTGATAGATATAGTTTCTAAATCTTTGCCGAAATTTTTTGCTTGCTTGCAGTCAAATGCTGCGAGTACGTGATTGTCCGCGACAGACCCTCCACGATCAACCCCAAGAACAACACATGGCACGACTAGGGCATGTGACATCTACCAGCTTTTACTATCTTGTAATGGCATCGTGGATACATTGGTATTCCAAACTTAAGACAGAAATCAATAACAAGAACCAAAACCAAGAAAAATAATTTATTAGAATTGAGCAATAAATTTGAGCATTATCTTTTAATCTGTTGTCCATTCTCGAATTTTAGTCAATGAAACAACGACCGTTTTTTCAGCTTTTTTCGGTTCCGTACAATAACGTGCTCACTGCAAGCCGCTGGATGAAACAAAATAGAAGAAAAACAAAATTTAGAACTCACACGTGAAAGAATTACAGAGACTTACGGCAAAAGAGGTTCTTCTCCTGGAATGCAAAGCTATAGCCCATCTCATCGATGTCTCGAACAAGATCCATGATCGTTCGAGGCCAATCGCTCTTGTGCTTGCTCGTTTTCGTCGGGTAGAACAGTGTGTGGAGCTCAAACAGGATCTGGTCAGGCAAGAACTCCTGTAGAGTGTAGCCAAAACATAGCTCGATCAACACAACTATGATCTAAGATGGAATTACTAAGAACAAGAGCTTACCTCCTCCTCGAATTTAAACCCCTCAAACACCTCATACTCGCCATGCTCGATGTCCATCTTGAGCAGCGAGATGCTCGTCACTCCAATCTCTCTCGCGGCAGTGCTCAGCCTCTTGAAAGTCCTCCCATTTTCATCCTTTCCATCGAATCCCCCTAGACACCACGGATGGAAGCTCGTCTTTGGGTTGGACCACTCCCCCGTGCAATCGAACGTGTGGATCTCACACTCGCCATTCGTGTGTGCATGGATCGCCTCCTCGAAGTCGAACTGGTTGTTCGATCCCAGCGAGAAGACCACGCACTTGGGGCCGACAACTCGGATCGGCCCGCACAGCCACTTGCCGCCATCGCCGGAAGCTCCGATCCTCTGCAGGGAGTTTGCGTCGCAGTGGTACGTGGGCGTGATGAGATCGAATATCTGCCAGTTGGAGTTGGGCTTGAATCGCTCCAGCTCCTCGTCCGGGGATTGGTAGAGCTCGTCCAGGGTGCGCAGGTACTGATCCCGCCGGAGAGCGTTCCAGCAATCGTCGTCGATCCCGTTGGAGGGAAGCTTGAGGCAGCTGGGCTGTGGCAAAGCGTCGCTGGTGGAGTTTCGGATCCGGGGGATTCTGGAGAGGGCGCGGTTTGGGTCGACTCTGGGAGGGACCTGGTAGCTGGCGATGGCTTCCCGGATGGCGATGAGATCCTCAGGCGCCCTGGGACGAAGATTGGAGAGGAGGAAGAGATTGAAAGAAGAGGAGTTCTCCTTGAGCAAGAGGATGAGTCCGCAAGAAGCGATCAAGAGGGCGATGATCCATGACGGTCGCATTGCTGGGTTGGGAGAGACGTGCCTAAGAATCAAAACAAGAAAAATTAAGTGCACCGACTATTTGAATGGTCGCTCTTTTCGCTCTTTTTTCCGATTTATTATATTTCACATTAAGAATATTCTTTGCTTTGTGCTCAAGCTCGATAATTAATATGATTATATTTAAGATTCCTTTTCCTTTTTCACACTATAATTTTGGATTAGGGTCGTCACCCTTAAAGCAAATGGATCATCTGGCGATAAGATATGGCGCGGCAAGTGGAACGCTTGGAGCTTCGATCGATCGCAATCTTAGGCGATGCGTGAGAGTGAAAGCTTGTTCACAATCTGGCGTATCTCCACTGAGGAAGGAATTCGAGTCGTGGGCTTTGATCCACAACAAGCGGTACAAGGATTCCCAAGAAAAGGAGCAACGATTTGAGATCTTCAAGAAGACCTGGCTGTGGGTGGAAAGGATGAACGCCGAGGAGAGTAGCTGCCGATTTGGCGTGAATTACTTCTCGGATCTTCTTCCGGAAGAACTCGCTAGCTTCACAAACTACGAGTGACATAGCTTTCCAAGAACTGGTGTAACCACAATAGGTATATCAAACTTCTTATTCTATTCTTAAAGTCTTCGGACTTTTAAACCCTAAAAACTCTTACAATGCCAGGTCCACTATGGATCGTAGTGCTCCTGGTCGGTTCTAGCACTCTCATCCTCCTCTTCAGGCAAAACTCCATCGCTTCATTCACAATGATCCTCTCCAAGTTCCCTACCACAAGATCCCAAGACTTCAAGATCCCTCCAAGAGTCGATCCAACCCAGGCCCTTTCCAGAGTTCCCCGGATCCGAAGCTCCATCAGCGACGCCACGCGATCGCGCAATTGCCTCTGGCACCCCTCCAATGGGGTCGACGATGACTGCTGGAACGCTCTCCGGCGGGATCAGTACCTGCGCAGCCTGGACGAGCTCTACCAATCCCCGGACGAGGAGCTGGATCGATTCAAGCCCAACTCCAACTGGCAGATATTCGATCTCATCACGCCCACGTACCACTGCGACGCGAACTCCCTGCAGAGGATCGGAGCTTCCGGCGATGGCGGCAAGTGGCTCTGTGGTCCGATCCGAGTCCTCGGCCCCAAGTGCGTGATCTTCTCGCTGGGATCAAACAACCAGTTCGATTTCGAGGAGGCGATCCACGCACACACGAATGGCGAGTGTGAGATCCACACTTTCGATTGCACGGGGCAGTGGTCCAACCCAAAGACGAGCTTCCATCCGTGGTGTCTCGGGGGAATCGATGGAAAGGATGAACATGGCAGGATTTTCAAGAGGCTTAGCACTGCCGCGAGAGAGATTGGAGTGACGAGCATCTCTCTTCTCAAGATGGACATCGAGCATGGCGAGTATGAGGTGTTCGAGGGGTTTAAATCCGAGAACGAGGTAAGCTTCCATGGTTCTTGGCGTGAAGATTTCTAGTTGAGTTTTGAGTTGTTTGCCAACTTTTTCTCGAGTTTCTTGCATGCCGTACAGGAGTTCTTGCCCGACCAGATCCTGTTTGAGCTCCACACAATATATTATCCGTCGAAAACGAGCAAGCACAAAGACGATTGGCCGCGAACAATCATGGATCTCGTCCGAGACATTGACGCCATGGGGTATAGCTTTGCATTCCAGGAGAAAAATTTGGTATCCAGTAAGTCTTGGAGTTTGATCATCTTACACAACTCTAAAGTTTCATTTCTTGCGTTTTGCAGCGTGTTGCACTGAGTACGTCATCGTACGGGACAGGCCCAAACAAATGTGATATGCTAAGCATATTTACTTCCCGGAGAGGAAATACTGGAGTCTTGCATTGGTTGCTCTGTGACCCTGAAACGAGCTAGCCAAGATCGATGAGCTCAAATCTCGGATGGGCCTGGGCGAGGATATCATGCTCATTGTCGATGGCGCCGTCAAGAATACTATAAACTTTAAAAGGTGGCGATCCTTTAGGGTTTTTAGGGCTTGTCGGAAGAGATGAAGTACACGAAATTGGGGAGCACGGGCTTAGAGGTGAGTTCTTTGGGTTTTGGGGGAGCACCGCTTGGGAGCGTCTTCGGGCCCGTGAGCGAGGAATCGGCAATCGAGAGCGTCCGTGAGGCGATTCGCCTTGGCATCAATTTCTTTGATGTTTCTCCGTAAGAAACACGGAGCTTCTTCTAAGTTTCTAAAGTGGAAGATTGATCTTTCCTCCAGATGCTATGGCAACGCAGAGACAGTCCTGGGAAGAGCTCTCGAGTCCATTCCCAGGGAGAAGTTTGTCGTCTCCACCAAGTGTGGAAGATACAGCGATGGCTTCGACTTTAGCGCGCAGCGAGTGCTCAAGAGCGTCGACGAGAGCTTGGAGCGATTAAAGCTGGACTACATCGACATCATCCACTGCCATGACATCGAATTCGGCTCGCTCGATCAAGTAAGATAGCTTAGCAAAAGTCTTATCTGGAACGATACCTCTCTTCCCAGGTGATCTCCGAGACGATCCCAGCGCTGCTTGGCTTGAAACGACAAGGCAAAGTCCGCTTCATTGGAATGAGCGGACTTCCACTGGCCATCTTTCGCTACGTCTTGGACAGAGTCGAGCCTGGAACAATCGACGTTATTCTATCATACTGCCACTACTCCCTCAACGATTCCTCGCTCGAGGGTCTAATTCCGTACCTCAAGGACAAAGGAGTCGGGATCATCACTGCTTCGCCACTCGCCATGGGATTACTCACGGAGTCTGGTCCTCCGCAGTGGCATCCAGCGCCGGAAGAAATCAAGGTACTGCTAAGTTATAGAACTTCGGTGTGGAAACCTTTCTTCTTCTTTTTCGTAGGAAGCTTGCGCCAAGGCTGCTACTCACTGCAAACTCAAGGGTCAGAACATCTCGGAGATGGCATTGAAGTTCTCCCTCTCAAATCCAGATATCGCAATCACTCTAGTTGGAATGTGTACTACCCAGCAAGTCCACGAGAACATCAAGGCAATGGACAATCTCGAAAGGAGCTCTGTGGACTGCGAGAACATTCTTGACGAAGTGAAAGAGATTCTCGCTCCTATCAAGAACAAAACGTGGCCCTGCGGAAGACCAGAGAACAACTGAGAAGACCAAGCTCGTCAAATCTTACCTTCAAAATAATTTTCTAGCTGAAGTAAGTTCTTTGCTGCTTTTATGATATCTAGCAACTTGCACTAAAAACCTGGAGAATTGCCAAACATTAACGACGGCTAACAGAATAAGAACAAGCAAACCTGTACAACATTGTGGATTGTGATGTTGAGGTACTGAGCCCGAATCGATTGCTTAAACACGGTCACCTGAATCCAATCTCTCGTAAGGCGAAAATATGTGACGTTGAATTCACCTTGGACAGGACGATGACTGCTCCTGGCACAATGTCCCTGCCGAACTCAGTCTCGGCAAGCACTCTCTTGTGGACGGTTCCACCAATCGTGCCTGTCGGATCCTACTCCAGGAACTTTGCTCAAATTATGTTTTCTTTCCATGACGACTGTACCTTGAGTGTCACAAAAGCGTCTCCGCATCCATTTGGAGTACACGATTGGATTATCGCAAGCAGCTGATCGAGAAAACCATGTAAACTACGGGGTAAAGAAGATGGTCGTCCAGATAATGGCAATATAGTTTACCTGGGGAATACGTTCGACACAAGGGGATGACTTGATATGGCTGATTGTGGAATCACGGCGTGAGTACTTCACTGTCGTGGAAATCAAGTCATGAAAGAGAGAGAAGAAAGAAACAAGATGAGCTTACCCGGATCAATCTCGCCGATCTGACAGTAGCGAAGGGCCGCCAGCCACGCAGAACTTCTAAAGTCCGAGTGATCAAAAGGATTTTCTTTGCGCGAAACTTCGCAAGGCTCTGATCGTTTTATGCCCAGCTGCATGGCCCCGGCTGGTCCTGGAATCGTGTAAGCAAGCTTTTGTGACTTTGCTCCAAAAATCTCTGGAGCATCAAAGTCGTTTTCTAAGCTCCGTTGTGGAGGTTCTTCGTCGGCTCTTGCAGGACTGCTGGCAACGTTGAGAGTCCTTGGCACAGTCCAGTCAAGACTATCCTCCATGTCCAGGAAATCCAAGAACATCGGCTCCTCTGATGCGGTCTTGGCTTTCTTCTGGACGTTACCTTGATCGTTTTCTCGCAAAGATCGCTTGGCACTCGTGCCTAAGATCCTTGCGCTCTCTCCAAGGCCGAAATCCCGGAAATCAGAGCGGCTCGAGCTTGGATTTTCTGGAAGAGGCGAGACTGCCCGATCGCTACCCGCAAAACCCTGACGGAAATCTGGAGTTGTTGCTGGCGCTGCCGTGCCAGCTGCTGCGATCGAATCACTGACCTCTGCTCGATCGCCATTCTTGAGGAACTCGCCAAGATCGAAGTCTACCTCAAAATCTTCGAGATCCATAAAAACCCTAACCCCCAAAAAAGATGCAAGAGAATATCCAGTTTTCAAAAAGATGCCAGAGAATATCCACTTTATGATCCTGACACAGCATCCATGTGGCTTGAGCTTGTCCTGCCACGTAGGCGAGGGCTAGAAAGGCGCTCTTTTTTCTTTTTTCTCTTTTCTCGGGCGATAGTAGAATGCTGGATTGATTGTTTCCATTCGATGCCCTAGTTTCAATCCTTCCATAGCTCTTCGCCTGGAAGAATCGTCGGCATCGTCATCCGTGGTCGCGGCGCCATCGACCACAGCAATCCAGGTGAGATTTCGCCGGATCCGTCCAGCAGCAGCGGCATTGGGCAGCATTTCGTGTTGCGATCCGGGGAGGTGCAGCTGTAGGGTTTATAGCGCTTTGCCAGGTTTTTCACACAGGGAATGGATCTCTAGAAAGGATTTCCAGCACTCGAGCAGCATATCTTTGAGAAGGAGAATGGTTTCCAGTGCTCTATCGCCGGGGGATGATTTGCCAGACGAGTATGAGAAGGATGATCCTTCAAAGAAGGCCATGCCCAGAAGAGCTGGGATTATTTTGCATCCTACTTCATTGCCTGGACCGCATGGGATTGGAGACCTTGGTCCAGACGCTTTTAGATTTCTCGATTGGCTCGAGTCTACTGGATGTCGCATTTGGCAGGTATTCTAGCTCTTTGTTTCGTTTGTCTTTGAATCATTCACTTATAGGAGCTCAAGTTTTTGTTCTCGTAGGTTCTGCCATTGGTACCTCCTGGGAGAAAAGCCGGAGAGGATGGATCGCATTACGCTGGACAAGTAAGCGGCGTTTTTCTTTCATCCGAGTTCTTATGTTTTGCGATTGACAGGATGCTAACTGCGGGAATACTCTTCTGATCTCGCTGACTGAACTCGTCAAAGATAGTCTTCTGGAAGAAGAAGATATTCCTGAGGCTATGTAAGCTGGCTTCTTTTCTTCCTTCGGAAATGACTTGTTGCTTACAGACCTGTCGAGAAAATTAACTATGAAGCTGTAGCCGAGCTCAAGGATCCACTGATTCAAAAGGTCTGCCAGTTTCGTTTGCATCACCGCTTTATTCTTTCCCGTTGTTTCATAGGCTGCAAAGAATTTGGTGCAAAATGGAGGTTCGTTGAAGAAGGATCTCGAAACTTTTCGAAAGAGCCCCCAAATTGCATGTAAGTCCATGTTGTGCTTTTTAATGGATGCTCTAATCATGCACCAAATGTAGCCTGGCTGGAAGAAGCTGCTTTATTTGCAGCTATAGATTCACATCTCGATGACGGAGCCTGGTGGCTATGGCCAGAGCTCTACGAGATAGAAACCCTTCGGCACTAGATAAAGCTCGGAAAGAGCATAAAGACTTTGTAAGAACAAAGTGCTAGTTGTTCTAGTTCTAACTCGTTCTATTACAGATTGACGTTTTTATTGCGCAACAATTTTTGTTTCAAAAGCAGTGGCAAGCTTTGCATACGTACACAAATGAAAGAGGAATCAAGATTATTGGCGACATGCCGATTTACGTAGGAGGCCATAGTGCTGATGTTTGGGTCCTTCGGACACAGTTTATGATGGTACGCTTCCATTTTCTTTCTCAAATACAAGGAAGAACTCAATATCTCGCAGGACGAAAATACATGCGAACCAGTTCTAGTTAGCGGTGGTCCAAATATTTTTAACTTGTCTTTTAGTAATTTTCCAGCCCTTTATACAACTGGAAAGCGATGGCAAACGATGGCTACAAGTGGTGGACCTCAAGAATGAGGCGTGCTTTTAAGCTTTATGACGAGTTTCGAATCGATTACTTCCGTGGGCTTGCAGGATGCTGGTTATGTCTAAAAGAAGACTGCATATCGAGATTTTTGCTGACATTTTTACGTTGCTTAAACAGCTCGCTAGAAAGTGATGCCGAAGACCTGGTATATCCTTTTGAAAGAGAAGGTAGCGCTCATGCTAAGCGCAGGGTGTCATAACGAGTGATGAGTTTTTAGTTGTTGGGCCTGACCGTTTGGTGGGCTGGACCAGTTAGGTTAAACGGAATCTAAGGAGGGTTTTTGGCAAAAGGGGGGATTGACAAGCGGGTGTTCACACTTAGGTTCCTGGATTGTCATCCTTGTTTCTAGGAGTCACATTTTCAATCGCTACAACAGTCACCTGGATCCAAGACAAATCTCTCGTAAAACGAAATGATGTACAATTCACCTTGGACAGGAGGATGATTGCTCTGAACTCAGCGCAAGCACTCAGGAACTTAGTGCAGTAGTAAGCACAGTGTAAACGCGCGCCGGATCTCTTGTGAGGCGTCTCTTAGGGTTTTTGGTTGAGATGTGTGCCAAGCGTAGCCGCGATTATGTCACGGTAGAGGAAGCAAGGGAGGCGGTGAAGACCATCCTCGACATGAATGAAGACGATGTCTTCATCAAAGGCAAGTCCACTCTCCTGCCATATCCAGGCATAGGAGACCCGGTTAATAGGCCTCCGGTGGAGCTCAACTACGTGGGTCGCGGGAACACGTTGTTTGAGCTCCTGGGCACCTGGATTTCTGGTCGTGAGGTTTTGATCGTCGGTCCCAAGGGCATTGGGAAGTCATCCGACTTTCGAGCCATGGCGTGTGTTCTCTACAAGTGGCTCAACACTCCCGACGACGAGGAGAATCGAGAGAAGCGCATGCATCTCCAGTTGCGTGAGGGTGTGAAGTACCGGCCAGTTTTTCTGTGGGCAGAGACGTTCCTGATCGATCATGTAGAGGCAACCAAGAACGCGCTTCTCTTCTCATATCTTGTGGACGAGATCAGGCAAGTCGACGGCTGGCAAGAGACTGAAGCTGCCATCGCGAGCATCGTGTCGATGGAGGAGGCGCTTGGGTTTATCAAGGAGCGCAAGAAGAACAAAGCAGAAGTGTTTTACTTCTTTATAGACGGAGGCGAGGCACTTGATCCAAGTGATTTCCTTGGGAAGCCAGTGTATGACCACGATGCAAAGTCTGCAGCGAAGAAGGATCTGCGCGTCCTTTTGAGCGCGGGTACAAGAATTTGTTGGTGCACTAGTCCGAAAGCAGGTATTTTAAGCAGGAAGAATCAATTGCCATCGTTCACTTATAAACGCCAGAAAGCTGTCTTTGACGAGGTAAGAAGCTGCCAATATTTTGTTCATGGGTTTCATGCTTGAAAGCTTTGTTTCAGGAAGAGTATTCCACCTTCTCTGGAAATTGCGTGCTTGGTAAACTTCCAGCTCGTCGTTCCAGCATCGAATACTACACTGGACTCGTCCCGCTTTTCCTTGATGCTATGTCCGCCTGCTGCGAGACTGTTCTTCGAGACTTGGCGCTCGCTGAAAGTGACACACTTGCAGGCATGCCGTCGTGGATGCAATATGGTCGAAGGAAGACTTTACAAGCAACCGATGAAATGATAACGATGTTGAACGACGAAGATGAGTATTGGGATCGCGTTCTACGGGCCTTTACCCAACACAGTGAGATTGATGAGGTGCGGAAAAAGGCCAGTAAGATACAAGTACGAGGTGCGTGCAGAACAGATGCAGACATAGCACGTCTGGACCCGAGTTACGTTCTTGACGCCAGCACGGGGGAGTACTGCTCCAGCTACATCAAGAGGATCTACTTGAATGTGGTGCGCGAGAAAGAAGACAGTGAAACACTAATGTTTCACTAGTTTGCTTTGATTTTATCATAAAAGACCTCTTTAACCTAATGTAAAACATCCTTATATACAGTATTAATTGTAAAATTGTGCTGTTTTGAATCTGCCCGGATATTTGATTGCATTGGAATTTCCTTGCGATCAGATGGCTCTATCCATCTTGAATGGGTCTGACAGCATAACTGTGATGTGTTGGATAAAGGATTATCCCTTTGAATTGCCCGCAATTTATCCCTTTCAAGGGATATATTTAACTTTCTTATTTTAATAATAAGTCTTGGGTAGTCTTTTTGGAGTCAAGGCCCTAGCACCAAATTGTTCCTTTGTCCCTCTGGGTTGGATAGTTAAGGAGTTGGGAGTGGCTACCATGCAATCCATTGAGCTCGATACCCATTGTTATACCCATGTAGCCTTGAAATTGAGTACAAATTGCACCAGAGTTCACCATTGTTTTTGTTGAACTAAAGAAAACCTAGGCAATGTAATTGTACTATCTAGACCTTGAAAGCAGTTGAAGTCATATTTGATCAATGTAGGGCATGATGGTAATGATGCGTTAATATTCCTTGAGAGTTGTGAGAGGAGAATTTATGCTAAAGGATAGCAAAGATTTAGAGGAAATTGATAAGAGAATTGAGGGCAACAATAGGGAAGGTTAAGTTAGGTAGTAAGTAATTAAATTTTCCATTTTACTTTAGTCATTTAGTTACACCTCTGACCACTTAGAGAAGTTTTTCTCACAACCTTAATAAGTTTTATGTTAATCTATGTTGATAACATTTTTATTTTTAAATTGTAATGTTTAGATAAGTGTGTTCAGAAGGAATGTTTAATTGCATTTTATAATTTTAACTTTCCTGTGGGCTTGATATATTTGTATGAATTTATAATATTTTCTTTGGAAAATTTTTTATATGGTAAAGGTAGTAAGTTTTTCTGTGTAACCTCATTTTGTTATTTATATCATTTAAAACATACTCATAATGAAGAATTGGATACTTTTGTACAAAATTTTCTAAGAGAAAGTCTTTAACTTTGTCCCATGGGTCCTTTGGAGTGCAAAAGACATAAAAAGAACACAAATAATTATCTAAATTATGAAAGCATTCTAAAAATCAAGCATTTTCTAAATATATATTCTATTTAACATTATCAGCCTAAAGCCCCATAATACTTGTAGCTTGCTTAAATGTGTCCTAATAAATATTATTAATAGTTTCTAAATTTTAAAAATGATATATCACTTTTTTTGTTAAGATAAAAAACTACAACTCAGTATTAGGTGGATAAACTGAATAAATTCGAGATATAACAGTTTTTAAGCATCGAATTTGCTAAAAAAGAATTTCTATAATATATAAGCATATTTAAATTAAAATATTTTGTTAACATTGTATATTTCAGTTTAAATGCTACTTAATCATTACCTTCTAAAAAGAAGATGAACAAAAAGAGTTTTCATGTTCTTTCTAATAAATGTTTTTATAAAAGATATAAATCCTATATTAATTTTCAAATTTGTGAAACAGTATAATGCATTTATTCATAAAATTTAAGATTGTGACACTATTGAAAGTCATCAACAACTTAATATAATAGTTTAAATTGAGGTAAGATTTCCAGTTTTTTAACATGCATTATGTGTCTGCCTAGAAATAATACAAAGCCTAATTAATACAGATAATAGATATTAAAACAACCATGTATATGTTTTGAATTTAAAAAGTCTTATAATACTCTAAATATATATCAACACTAAATGTTGTTTTAAAATTCATTTCTTTTGGAAAACCTTTCAAGCAAGTATCATATATGTAAGGACTATTTGGGTTTAAAGGTTTATTTATGTATCATGTGAGCTGTGATTACTTCAAAAAATTGTATCTTGAAAGTTAGGTAAATGAGGTACTATATATTGATCAATAGCACCATAGATACAAATTTTATTATCATGATCTTTTTAAAATATGGGAGTCCTCTTCTATAGAACTCAATTATATATATATATAAGCTATATGTTTTCCAAATATATAATTTTTTTATTAATAACATTTTGAAAATTTTAATTTTGATATAAAATGCTCTAGAAACTAATTTATAAAAATTTTTCTAGTCATTCATTTAATTTCAAGTTTTCTATGATTTCAATTTATTTAGTATTACATGTAAAAACATCTAACCCTACCAAAACTTGATGACAAAATAACAATTCTACCTAGAATAGTATTTTAAGTTGTCAGTTGATTTGCGACATAGTCCATAATGTCTATATATATTGCAACTTAAAATTGTTTTTTTATGAGTGCAATAATAAATAAAAGTATTTCTTTCAACTTTTACATATATATCAACTATAAATTGGAGGCATGCATATTATTGGAGCAATATAGTATATCTTAAACTTATTTTTGTGCCAGTCTTTATCAAACCTATTTTTATTTAAAATTAATTTTTTATGTTAAATTATCATAATTTATATATAGGTGGTTTGAATGAAAAATAGCTAAATTTATTTTAAATATTAGATACACAATTCACTACATTATTATACCCTTTGAAGGTCTCCATCTCCAAGATCTTTTCTTAATCCAAAATTCACCACCTATATATTCTTCCACTTTTGCATATTGCCAAGACATTTTTATCCTTTCCACTTACCCTAACTCTCACTTTAGATGCTCCTGCCTTGCTACAAATTTTTGTGCCTATGCATGATGCCAAAAACTAATATATTAATTAATAATACCAATAATCACTAAGGCATGGTCTTTCAGTTAATTAACATGATGGCATTAGAGATCCTAAAGGTAGTATTAGATTGTCATTCTTATATATTTAAAGAGCTCAATCCATTAAGGTGGAACTCAAGTATTATCTCATATGTTTCGTCTTGTACTGCATTATTCGAATATTATTTCTGATAGTAAAATCTAATTAAAAGTGGATTTGAATGGCAAACAAACTCAACACTTTTGGCATTAAAGTGCCTTTAGCTATGTTACAAATTTTAAATTTCTTCATTAATTCTAAAGTAGTGGAATAATTTAAGTGTTGAAAAGAATGGCTAAAAAGACCATCCACATCTTCATCAATGTGCCCAATAATTTGTAAAAAATACTAAAAGGTATCAAAATACATACTTATTCTTGTTTTTAATTCCAAAATTATTAATTTGTAACAATAAATGTGAAAGTATTGATTTAACTATGGGAGGATATAAAACACCTCGTGAAATATAATTACACTACCTCCAGAATTTTAATTTTTTTTAAAGAATATAAGGTCTTCCATTTTTTTTATGTTCTTTTATTGCATTAGTTGACTTCTTGCTAACAAGGTTTTCCATCCATGATTGCATTACAAAGGGTTTTATGTCCAAAAGTGCTTTATGAAGTGGTTGAAAAATAAACATTTCTAGTTATTCCTTTCTTATATAAGATTAAAGATGCTAACATTAAGAGATAACATGATGGCTTTTGAATACCACCTATTCATTCCTTCTTCATTATATAATATGTTAAATGTGTAATATCATAAAAAATTCACTATGGATTATAACAGACAATAACTTTGTTGAAAACCATTCCTCCTTTCATAAATCACTCTTTTCAATTGATGATGAAAAGTTACAACTAAATTTCTTAAATAAAGAGTTGAATCAATTCACTCATTCTAAATATATTTGCACTTATTGTATTAATAACAACTCCTCTTGTAACAATCAATTGTGAAAATCATTTGCACCTTAATAAACTCTTTCCAAGTGGAATTATTTCAATTTTAAGGTGAATTGTTACTTTTTCTTATTTTTTGAATAAAACATTATTTATTTTTTCTCCAGTTTTCACAAAACTCTAATTATTTAACTACCCCACTATCATTATTCTCAAAACCAAACTTCATATCTTGAAATATGATTCAATAAAGCTCCCAACAAATAATTTCTCCCTAATTTAGTCTACAACCACTTTTGAGAATATTCAAAACTACACCAATGTGTTTTAAGACAAGCTCTTAATTGCTAAATAATCTTTCAAATAAACCACTATCACTATATTCTCAGCTACATTTTTATTGTTGTAGTATTTTAAAATAGTTTTTGCATGATTCTATGTTAACCAATTTTTAAGGTCAACCTCTTTGATGTTCTTTGTAACACATATAAGACCTAAATTCCTAAGTCCCAAATTGAAATTGAAAGTTAAAACTCCTAAAGATGCATTTAAGAAATAAGTATGAAGTGATCGATAAGTAAGTCTTTAAAAAAACAATAAAAAGAATGACTAATACATAACAAGTCTTATGACATATAAAAGTGTTAAGATTAAATTTAAGACTGAGTCAAAGACCAAATTTGAGTTTGAAAGGTGAAAGCATAAAGCGATCACTTCCTAAACCCTAGGGGGTTTGGTAAGTCCCTACTAAATAGGAGGGGGAGAACTCTAGAGGAATTAATATGACCAAAGAATATTATATCTATGTGATTGGTGATAATATAAACACTAGGGAGTCCAAAGTTATAGTGAATATAGATGAATAAATGAAGTATTCAAAAGCCAGCTCTAACTCCTCTAAAAGATTAAATAGTCAATGCTCTCAATTTAAGTGTGGGTAGCACTATCTACTTGAATACTTTATGTAGCTTATTAAAACCTTCTTTTAGCCACATAGTTTGGGTGGCTTTAGAAAAGTTTGACAACAACAAGGGCAATGCTCATGATGATCTATAACATCAATTGCTTACTATTAATCATCATCCTTTCATCAATGAAGGTGAAGACCACTCCTTTGCAACTATAAATTCTACATTCCTCAAGGAGCCAAACTTACTAAATACTTCTTAAGCTACCTTCACCCTTCTCCAAACAAAAAGTGTTGATGATCTCTTGGTGGTAGTGCTTGTAGTAGCGGAGGAGGTAACCATGATTCAAGTGACTTAGAAGCCTAAGGAAGTGCATGCATTCATGAAGATGATCACCAAGTATGGCCATATAATCCTCAATAGTGAGTTTAACTTATGAACATCTACTGATATTAAAAAGTAAATTAGTATAATTATTTCCATCACTCACTCCACCCTAAAAAAT